CACTCAGGAGGTGGCAGCAAGAGGATGAACAGGCCGAGCTATACAGACAGACTCTATCTTAAACAAATCCAACCAAATAAAGCAGATCAAATGGAATCTATTTGTAATATTGAATTTACATGTTATATTAGAGATTTCAAAATCTGAATTCAGGGGCTTGCTTAAACAAAGTCTCTTCCTGTAGCCTGGATCAAAAGTAAATAATTAAGACTCTTTGCAGGGCATAAATGTACCTTGAATCATGCACATCTAATCATCATAGAACTTTAGGGCTGAAAGACTCTTGAGAACTAATCTAAATTTTTATCCCTTCCTTTCCAAACCGTTTTATCACCCATGAATTTACTCTTCCCTGTGAGGTAAGAACAGCCTGCCCCTGCCCTGACTTGTTCTTGGACTTGGTCTATAGGAACACCCTGCAAGTAATGTAATGCAAATAAACTGGGTGGAGTATACTGACAGACTTGGGGGCAGATCACATGAACTTAATAGAACCAACCTTAGGAGCTTGGTAAAGGTCTCAGATTATACTTAGAAAATGACAAAAATTTCCAGGTCCTGATAAAGAAAGAATAATCTAACACATATTTTTTAAAAAAAGTCACGACAATATGGTATTTTTTTAATATTTCTTTTATTTTATATATATGAGTGTATTGCCTACATATATGTAAGTGCATCCATGTTATCCAATGCCTACAGAGGTCAGAAGAGGGCAGTGGATCCCCTGGAACTGGAACTGGAGTTACAGACGGTTGTTAGCCACCATGTGGGTGCTGAGAATTGAATGAGTGCTCTTAACTGATAAGCCATCTCTTCAGCTCCAAGTCTGGTATCTTGAGGGACTCAAGAACTCAACAGCACATAATCAGTACCGAATTCAGAAGGAACAAGGACTGGCCCTCTCACTATGAGCTACACTAAAGCACATCTGGACTATCATGTTCAGCTCTAGTCTGTGCTCTGGGAGTCACAGAAAGACTGAAAGTCCAAAAGAGAAGTGATCAGGATTGTGAAGAAATACAAAACCATCTCAAAGAACAACGGAAAGAGCTGAGGTTATTTAGCTCAGACTTGGAGTATGAGCACTGCCCGCTAAAATCTGAAGAACTGCCTCGGGACAGAGAAAGCAGACTTGTTCTATGTGGCCCCAAAGGGCAGAATTCATCCAATTAGTGTTAGCTACAGGGAGCGATAGTTCATATACACCTACAGCAGTATTTCTTAAAATGGACAGCCATGTTGGGAATTAGTGGCTTCTACGATCCTATCTAGCCTCAGAAATCTGTAATTACAAAGAAACAAGCACTTGTCATTAGCTCAGGGCCTTATTGTTGATTATTACTCTCTAGTAGCACAGCATCTCCTTTTACCCTTTGGGCAACCAGTCAGCATAGTGTTGAGCCAGGTTTATGAAAAGAGAGTGCCTGCTTGCTGGGCAATTCGTTTGTTTATAGATCAGTGTCCCTGTAAATAACTGGGTCCTAACTAAGTGGTAGGTAAGAGCTCTCAGCTAAATTTTCATGAAAGAAAATTCTTATTAATTCATACAGCACCCATAAGATTTGTCCAGTCAAATAATATATTAAATGGCACCCAGTTCTTGTAGAGATGTTGAAATAAAATACCCTCTACAACTATCTTCGGAAATGCCAGGGAATCCAAACTTGCAAGCCAAATCAGTTCTCTCAAATTCAAATAGAAGTTTTCCTCGGTTAAAAAGCAATGTTTATTATTTGAAGTGGTCTTAAGTCCATGATCAGATTAAAGGGTCTCATTTGATTATATTGCTATAAGGCTAACATGTACATTAAGCACAATTGTACCCATGTCATGCAATGCCTGCAGGGATCAGAAGAGGGTGTTGGATCCCTTGGACTGGAGTTACAAACAATTGTTAGCCTACCACTTGGCCACAAAGTCAGTTAAGCTGTTGAGAACTAGACATAGAAAATAGTGAATTCACAGATGAATATACACTACAGAATATTTAAAGCAAAGGTGAGTGACCTGAGTTAGACATCCTAAAATTTTTGCTACAAAAAGATCACCATAGAGAGAAATATGTTAGCCCATGGAAATTACTAAAAACTTTGAACAGTTTACATGGCAAATATTAATCAACCCATCTTTGCTTCACTTAAAATTGATTTGAATTCTAAATATTGATTTGAATCAAAGTATTAGAAATATAATAAAGATATGATGAACTTAACAAGAATGCATTCTTCTCTGTGCTTGCTAAAGCAACCTAAGTGTGCACAACTTAGAAACTAGTTAAATTATGATATATTCTTAGAACAAAAAGTGCACCTATTGGAAAGAGTAACGTAGACCCTAGGTACCGACATGAAAAAAATAAAGTTCATGATACACAGTACACAGTTAAGTGGGTGTGGCAAGTTGTAAAATAGTATGTATTATTTTAATTTTTAAAAAAAAACTACTAATAAATTTTTGGTGTGCCAGGGGTTGTGTACACTAGACAAGTTTCTACCCCTATGCTATACCCTTAGCCCTAAAAATTATCTTAAAGCACTTTGCGTGTTCATATACGTCCAGAAAATTATTTTTTTAAAGATCTAACAAATTGCTGGGGGTGGTAGTGCATACCTTTAATCTCAGCATTCAAGAGGCAGGGGCAGGTGGATCTCTGTGAGTTTGAGGTAAGGCTGGTCTACATAGCAAGTTGCAGGCCAGCCATGGCTACAGGGAGGCCATCACAAAACAAAACAAAATACAGCACAACACAACACAAAACAAAACAGAGATCTAACAAACTGCTAAGAGGGGTAATCTCTAGGGACTAGAATGAGAGGGAGGGGAAGGAGTGACTTTTAACACTTCCTTTAAAGGCTTCTGGTTATCTCTTTTATCAGTAAAAATTACCTTTATGTTTTAAAAGCAATAAAAGCAAAATGACATCAACTGTACATTTATCAGATTCTAACCAAGGTAAGCAATTGCTACTTAAATGTTGTGTGCTAAAATCATCCTTTTTCTATTTTACTAAAGCAAAGTTATAAATCCCCCAAGTCCCTTCTAAGTTTCTTAAATACTTTCACAAAAAAGGGCTGGTCACCAAGCTAGAGAGATGGCTCATCAGTTAAGAGCATTGACTGCTCTTGCAGAGGACCCAGGTTCGATTTCCAGCACCCACATGGCAGCTGACAACAGTCCATAACTCTAGTTCCAAGGGATCCAATGCCTAAGTCTTCCGACCTTCTCAGGCATTGCACGACACGGGTACACTTAGACACATGCAGGCAATACACTCATACACATAAAAAAGTTAAAATAAAATAAATATTTTTAAAAAGGGCTGGTCACAAGCACAAAGTAACACACATGTGGTGCTTATCCAGCACCAGGAACTAGTCTAAGCAGTACATATGCATGCATTTACTTGTTTAAATTTTTCTCTCCTCTTCACTCCCTCTCTCCTCTGTTCCCGTCATTCTTATAGTCCTGCTATGTAGCCCAGTTTGCCTCAAACCTCACAGGTAGCCATGGTTGGCTTTGAACTCCTGATCCTCCTGTCTTTGCTTCCTCTGTGTACAATCACATCCACCACCTCAATTTACAAAATTTTCACAGCGATCCTGTAAGTTAAGTACTATTATTATCTTCATTTCACAGAAGAAAGTGTGACCACAAGGATTAAGTAACCTGTCCAAACTTACATAGCCAATAAGGGACATAGGTGGAATTCAAACCTAAAAATGGGCTCTAGGCCTATACTTTCAAGCATTTTTAGTCCATCTTTTAGTAACTTGTCAATCTCTCTGCATAGAAGCCAAAATTCATCACAAGTTTAAAAAAAATAGCTAGTTAATACACTTCTTGAAGCTGAAAGAGATCCAAACTTGGCTTTTTTGAGGTGAATAATCTGCATCCCTACTTATGCCACTGCCAAACTCCAACCTAAGATTTAAGACTTAACCATCTGGAAAAATTCTCTACCAACTCCTATAGTCCAAAGTCCACACCTGACTCCAGAGCAAACCACTGAGTGGAAGAATTAGGTCAATGACCAAGCTAGACAAGTGCTTCAGACAAATCTCCACCCCAACACAAAGTAAAAGAACTCAAGAAACTTGCCTAGCATCTTAAGGTGGGCTTTGTGGGTTGAGTTCCAGGCCCACATTAGCTATAAAGAGGTGAGGACCAGAAGTGGACTCTAACTTTGCTTGAAGACTTCCACTAGCAAGAAGAGGAGCCTTATGTTCTATCGTGAACTCAAAGACAAATTGACATCTGTCTGCAGCAGCAGTACAAAACATCCTAGTTTCAAAGAGGCAAAAAATGGGCATCCCAGCTTACACTGTATTTTCGAAGACACTGACCTTGGAATTGAGACAGAAAAAAAAAAAAAAAAAGGAAGGGATTTAACCTAATTTATAAACGTGCTCAACCTAGATACACACCTGTCCCAAATGACGTACCAAATCCACTTATTTGCTGAGAAAACACGGATTACAATGCCGTTTTTATTTTTAATTTTTGGCCTGAAGTGGTCTGTGGTTTGTAAGCAAAATTTTTCCTCTCTCCCTTCCACCTGACGCACATACACAAACATCCGATATTTACATCAACAGGAGGAAACCAAGAAATAATACCTACTGCTGCTCTTGTGGTTTCCACCTACGGGTTGATGGAGTAGCGTGCTAGCTTTCAAACTTCCCCCAAATAACCCAGGCGAGGTGGCCTTCGGGGCAAACTCAACCCAAAAGTTTGCACCCATTCTGGGACTCTGACAAAGGCCAGCAAACCCCACTTTAGGAAGAGACGCTAAGCTCTCTACACAGCAGCCCTCCTGAGGGAGCACAGTCCAGGGAGGAGGGTGACAAAAGACTTTCTGGATGCGGAGGGACTGGGGGCTGAAGCTAGCTGGAGCCTGGAGCTCCCTTTGGGAGTTTTAGGGCAAGCAACGAGGTTTCCAGGGAAGCGCCAGGACTGGATGGCAGGCTGGAAAGGGTCCAGCCTGCGCCGGGACTCACCTGGGGGAGGAGCAGGGGCCTCGGTGGCAGGTGCGGTGGGCGGGACGCGGCTACTGCCGCCGCCGCCGCTGCTGCTGCTGGAGGGCTCGACGATCGGGGTCCCGGGAGCAGGGGACGCCGCAGCGGTGGTCACTCCCGGGGTGCTGGGCGCCGGGCCAGCGGGGCTCGCTGGGGTGGTGGGTGGCGGGGAGGTGGCGGGAGCGCGTCCCCGCTCCTCAGGGGCGGCGGGCGGCGGGCCGAGCGTGGCCGGGAAGGTGCTGGCGGCGGCTGGGGCGGTCGTCCGCAGAGGGGTGGTCTCCGGGGACCCGCCGCCCGAGGTCGCAGCCGGGGCTCGGCCGGGCGTGCTGCGCGGGGGGCTGGTCCTCCCGGCCTGCGCCGTGGGAGCCGTGGCCTCAGGGAACGGGAGGCCGGCCTCGCCCCGCAGTCCCGGGCCCGGCGACGCGTCCACCTGCCCCTCCGCCCCGCCGCCGCCGGTGACATTCCCTGCGGAGGCGGCTGAGGCGGCGGCGGCGGCGGCGGCGCAGCACAACAGGGCGAGGCCGCCCAGGCTCGGCAGGCTCCTCATGGCGCGCTCGGCTCCGCCATTCATTCATTCAGCCAGTCGGTCGGTCAGTCATCTTCTTCTCCGAGCCGTCGGACCCAGGAAGCCGCCGCAGCCGCCGCCGCAGCCACCGGGCTCAGCATCGCCACCTCCCTCTGACAGGCGGCCGGCCCTGCGGGCGGGCCTCAGCGCGGAGGGAGCTAGCGGGCTGAGCGGGGCAGCCCGCCCTCCCCGATTGACGGCCGGGCAGGCCAATAGGAAGCCGCGGTCGTCCACGTGACCGGTCCGCTTCCCGGCCTCTTTGTGAGGGCACAGACCAATCGCAGAACGTCTGAGGAGGGAGGCGGGACGTTGGGCGGGAGGAGGGTGGCACGAGCGGCGCTCCAGCGGGCCGGGTTCGCGGCGACCCGGCTTTGTCTGCCCCAAGAGCTGGGCGCGGGCTTCGGGTACCCGGCGCCGCGGAGCAGACAAAGGGCGCGCCGCGCGCTGCGGGCGCCGGACGTAGTCGTCTGCTCTGCCAGGCTGCGAGCGCGACCCGGGCGGAGAGTCAGCTGTAGTGAGCGTCTCCGCCCTCATGAACAATGGGGGCGCGGGCACCGCACCGGGATGGGGCGGGGACTGGGCTGCAGCCTCGGGTGTAGACCGAGCTCGGCATTCCCCGTGCTGCCCGGGAGAGCCTGGCCTCGGCCCTGCGGGGTCTGCGCTTCCATCCCTATATCAGAGATGGAGAAACTGAAGCGCTTACTGAGAGCCACAGCAAGCCCAGCCCCACGTCCCTCCGCAGGCACCTGCTATGGGCCTGGCGCTGGGCCAGGCCGGACTCTCATCCCCATCACAAGTTGTTAGCGCTTGCGTGGAGGGAGACGGCACTCAGATGAACTCTTTCCCCCCTGAACCTCGGGAAGAATAGGGTAGGAGCTGGTTAAACCTCAGCTCCAGCCTTGCTGAGTTGTGTGGCCTGAGCACAGTTTTCTCAGTACTAAAATGATACGATGACAGGGCACACTCCATCCCCCTCCAAAAGCTGTTGTGAGAATTAAATTACGTACACGAAGGGCTTAACCCGGAGTTTGGCCGACCGTTGTAAGCCATCATTAATGCTAACTACTCTGGGTTGCACTGTGTCAGGACAAGCCTAAGGTTGGAGAGCCGCCCGCGCAGCCTCGGTCCCCAGAGACTTGCTAGTTGCAGGCATTGGGGTGGGGCTGATAGCAGAGCTTGACCCTGGATGACTTTAAACTTTGGATGAAGCTGAAATCAGGCAGGCAATCCCGCACCATCACCCAGGATCCAGTGTTATGTCCGATGCTGCTTTGGCTGAGCCACTTCCAGGGGCAGCTGGGCAGGGCACATTTGTCCTCGGACGGCTTAATCCCAGACTACAGAGCCTCACTACTAAACCCAGTCCTGGCCTCTTCCAGGATGCTTGTCTTTGTGTATGGTTTCCCATTACTCACTGGCCTCTAACCAGACCGGCAGGATGAGATTTGTGTGTAAACTCGTGTGTTAAGGAAAGCATGCACTTATTTGCCTCCATGAGCAGTGGGTGGGGAGAGGATATGTATGTACTTGTGTAGGAAAGCATAAACATATTTGTAACTCTGTGTGAACATTATCTGTATGAATCTGTGAATTATGAGTATTGTGTTTGTATTTCCATAGGTGATGCGTTTAATAATATATTAATAATGTGTGTGTTGTGTGTGAATTTTATGTTTTTGAATTTCTGGTTATCTCTGAGTGTGTCTTGATAGGTCTGTCTATGTAAGAAAGAGGGGACCAAATGAGAGGGGTGTGTGAGCGTTTGGGTTTCAAGACCAATATTTAGCAAGCACTGACCAAGGTTCTATTTTTACTTCTCTGAAGGAAGGGAGTAGACATGACACTCTACCTTCTAGTCTCTTGCTAGTTCCTCTTGGTTCCTCAGCCCCAGCCAAAATGCCACATCCTCTAAAAGACATTTGGGTTTCCAAGTGGGAGTTCATCCTCTGAATTTCTCTACTTTGTTTAAAGCCCTTCTCTGTCAACCCCTGCCTCTTCCTGAAAAAGATTAATAATGATGACTCTCAGAAATATGTACCACAGGATAAACTGAACCACCCACATGACTTAATTACTTCTCCTGGGCACTCATCAACCTTAGAAGTAGAACTATGATTGATGTGTCTGTCTTATTTCATCAGACTGTCTTCTCAGTGCCTAGCACTGAGAAGTTAAACTGCATGCTGATTAAACTGAAACAGATCTTATTGTGCCCTTGGGGAAAGTTTGTGCCTTTAAAGTCACAAGACTCTGCAAACTGTGTGATGTTGAAGGAAACCCTTTCCCTCTCTGAGCCTCAGCTCCTCTGTAAAATGAGGCCAAGAGTCATGAACAGATCAAAGCAAACATTTTTTACAGAACCTGACACTCACATAGCACTCTTCATTTCAGTTATACTTTGAGCTTTGTTAGCTGAAAGACTAGAGCAGAGACCTCTGTCCCATAAACTCCAGATCAGGTGACATAGCTTGACAGTTGCCCTACTGGATCTTTCCAAATGATGTCTTAAAAACTGCTGGATCGGCCCTGAGCTGTGCTGTATCAGAGATTCTCTGCCAGGAGAAGAGAAGAGCTGATGCAGCTTTTGTGCCAGGAGAATCCCAAAGCAAATGTCTTAGGAGACCTTGCCGAGTGATCCAGGTCAGCTCTGCCTCAGGCAAGGATCACGCACGCTGGGCTTCTCAGATGAGTCAATTAGCTGGAAATATGTCTACGAGATGTTGACAAATTTTTAAACAGTCTCAATACTGAGCTGAGGCTGGCCTCGGCCTCCCTAATTCTGGGATGTAGGCATAACTGTCACACACAGCTCTATAAAACAGTCTAAATATACTGATGCTCCATTCAACATTAGTTCTTTATTTTTTTCATATTTATTGTGTCTAAACACGTATGTCATGGTGCACATGTGAAAATCATAGGACAATTTGGGGGAGTTTGTGCCTTCCTCCTACCAGGTGGGTTCCAGGGATCAAACTTGGGTTGTCAGTTTTGGCAGCAAGTGACCTTACCCACTGAGCCAACTTGCTAGCCCTAATTCTTTTTTTTTTCTTTTTTTTTTATCTTTTTGAGACAGGGTCTCCCTGTAGCCCCAGCTGTCCTGGAACTCACTATGTAGATCAGGCTAGTCTTGAACTCAGAGATCCACCTGCCTCTGCCTCCCAAGTGCTGGGACTAAAGTCGTGTGCCACCACGCCCGGCTGCTAGCCCTAATTCTTAAATCCACTGCTCTGCCTCTATCTCACAAAGTACAAGATGTCTTGTTTTGTTTTGTTTGTTTTGTAGAAACAGGGTCTCACTCTGCAATCCAGGCTGGCCCAGAACCCACTAGGCCCAGGCTAGCCTGAACCTCATAGCAATCCTTCTGCCTTAGCCTCTTGAGTACTGGGATTACAGATATATACCACCATGTCCAACTTAACTTTTTATGTAAGGAATATTTTAGTTTATGCTTAAAACTGGGAAACACCATAAATATGCAACATCAGAGAAAGGTAGCTCCAACTTAATTATGTAATGTCATTTTCAAGGTGGCTACTGAGACAGTATAGCCCATATTAATAATAGATAAATAATAGAGTTCACAAGTGCTAGACACTGTACTAAGAGATATATGAGTTACTTAATTTAACCCTTAGAACCCCACCAAGCAGTAGTATTATATCCTAGACTGGACTGCTACAACAGCACCATAGACTGAAATGAATTCATTTCTCACAGTTTTGGTGGCTAGGAAATCCAAGATCAAGATGCCAACAGATTATCTGATGAGATCTTTCTTCCTGGTTCATAGATCTTTTCACTGTCTTCTTGTGATAAAAAGGACAAGGGAAGCTGGGCTTGGTAGCACACATCTTTATTCCCAGCACTCGGTAGGCAGAAGCCAACGAATCTCTGTGAGATTGAGGTCAGCCTGATCTGCATGCAATTCCAGGACAGTCAGGGCTACAGGCAGACCCTGTCTCAAAAAAGGAAAAAAAGAAAAAGAACTCCCTGGGGTCTCTTCTAAGGTCACTGATCCCATTCACAAGGATTTTATGATGTTGGCCTAGCACCTTCCAAAGGCCTCTACATACCATCATATGGAAGTGAAGTTATGATTTCAACATACAAATTTTAGAGGGATACAAACATTCACACTATAGCATGCTACTGTCCAAGGTCCCTCACCAAGTTATCAAACTGAGACTGGCTGGCTTCCGGCTGGAATCCTTGACCGTAGGGAAAATGCTTGTATAATGTTAGGAAGAAAAGAGAAGATAAAGGTCATAGCTCTGACACTGTGTATCAGAATGCTGCCCACCACTTTTCCTATTGCCCCAGAACTACCCTGAAGCCTACAGCCACTAAAGAGAGCTGTCAACACACCCATGAGAGCTGAAGCCACAAGAAAGCAAGAGTCAGAGTAGGCATGGTTGAAGTCTTTATGTGCAGCCCCACTCCTGTAGGAATTACAGATGCTGTCAAAGGTCTAGTCTGATTCTCCTTTGTGCTGGGCACTAGCCCAGTATCAAATCTATAACAGCAGTTCAGGAATTGCTGAGGTAAAGAGTCTTGTGATGTGGTGAGCACTGTTCAAGAGTTCTGCATTCATGGAAACTGAGGGTTTGATCCTTAGTACCTCAAAAATAGAAAGATAAAAAGAGTTTTATATTCATAACACATTCATTCCTCGTCGTTAGGGCTACCACCCATGCTTGAAAGAAAAAGAAAAAAATGGAGCATCTAAATGGTTAAAAAGACTTGGCCATGATCTGCCTGACTTTGTAACCCATGTGGCTTCTGGGTGCTGCACGCAGTAGAAGGTCAAAAGCACATACTGAAGAAAGGGCAGGCACACACCAAATTTAACCCTCCTGCTAGAGCAGCATTTAAGAAGAGAGGCGTTGGGAGCAGGAAAGCATAGTAAGAGACAACTGGCTTGTCCCACCATTTCCTTCAGACTGTAATAGAACACAGCAATTTTCCCTTTTCTGGTTTCATTGAAACATCAGTGCTGACACGGGCTCTTTCTAATCCTTCAGGAACCTGGCCCTATCAGATGTGGCTGAATGCACAGTTTGGCATCTTCTGCAGACAACTGTAAGGTTACTGGGGCCACTATTAATCAAGTCTGCCCAATTAAAGAACACTGACAGACAAC